TGATTGTTGTAGGTCCCTTCCAACTGCAATAGTCTATTCTATTATTATTTAATATATTTTCTGAATTTTATGAAGTCCATCATTAGTATAAATTGGTATACTGCTGAATGGCTTGGGGAGCTGCTTAAGATGGCAGTGTTGGGGGGGAGGTCCGCCATGTGAATGATTTTTTTTTTTTTTTTTCTGGAAGGCCGAGTCACTGGTTTGTGAGTAACTTGTGGTCTGTGGCTCTCTGTTCCTCAGATTTTGATCAGGAATAATGTGTTAACTCTGGTTTGATTACACTTATAGACATGCTTTCATTTAATGTGAAAAATTGAAAACACTCTTCCTGGCTGATTTTTGAAGGTGTATCTGACCAATTTCATATGTGTTTTTGGCTTGATCTTTGCTTTCCTTTGTTGTTTCTTGTCTGACTGGGCCAGCTGTATATATTCCCATGTCAGGGGATTAATCATTGGCTAGAGAATCAGGATTTTTTTATTGTTGCTGTCAGACCATCTATGTGAATGATCTTTTACTTGTTTTCCTGCAAGCAATTAATCTTTTAAGACTATCAGCTGCTGAAACAAGTTTTATTTTTTACTGAGTTGTTGTTGTTGGAGTGCTCGCATTTATCCTGAGGTCAGATATTTAAGTCTGAAACAATAGCTATTTAAATATCTGGTTCTCTTTTTCCTGTTCACCATTTTAGCATCTGTTTTATTGTCTTTGTATGACAGAGCTCTCTGAAAAATGGGGTTTTTGCTTTGTCAGGACTTGCAAAGACCATGCTTCTTGAGGTTTTCGGTTGCTTTCATGTATGTACCTTTTTCTTCCAAGGCTTTAATTTTGAGAGAGAAACAGGACAGCATGGGGCTGTCATAGCCATCTCATTTTGCGTATCCTTTCTTAAGCTTGCAACCACAAAATTGGTATCAGCATTGTGGTTTACCTTTATTGGTTTACTTTGCTTTTTCAGCTAGGAGAGTTATAGCAAAAGCAAAGAAAAACAGAACTCTGAAGCTGTGCCTGTACAGATAGGCATCTTACCAGTTTCAAAAAAGCAGGCTGGGAAAACATTACAGTGTAGGGAAGTTAGTGTAGTAAAACTCAGTGTGAGATTGTATGGATAGGGGAGGGTAGTATTTATTTGCAAAAAAACGAGTTGATTTTCATGCATTCGTACGATCTGATGCACAGACTACGTAGGCACACACACTCTCTGTGACATACTCAGAAGCACCAACATGCGTACGTCCCGATGGTGTGGCCAGGATCGCTTGTGTGCAACGCAGATGACAAGGTATACTGGCTGTCAAAGTCTTCATTGCACCTTGGGGGTTCTTCATGGCACTACAAACTGGTTTTTGGACAAGTCCGTCATAGCCTTTGGGAGTCATCAGCTGGTATGGGATGGGCCTTTGCCGTAGAAACTTGCTGACTTCAGGCTCCATAAATCTTGTGCCAAGTTGTTTCCCGGTTTTGTTTTTTAGGTTTTTTTTAACCTTTTTGTTATTGTATACTTTTTCCTTGTGTGAATGCATGTTTGAAATACTTGCCTAGGGTCTGTTTTTCTGTTGGGCCAACAGGCAAAGGGATCATGTTTGTGATATGCTGAATCTTGTTACCATCCTCCTGGTGCAGGGTCTTTTGCTGGTGAGTCATCTATGCTGTGGTCTTACCAGAGTGTAGACCTTTCGGCCATGACATAAACAGCACATTTCTCAATTTTGCTGCTGAGAATACTGTCCTGAAAATAATGTCCAGGGAATGGTGTCCTTCATTATCGGCACAGGCTGTTATTGTAACCCTTTGTTCTGCTGTTCCTTTGTGTCTATGTGTACTCACATTCTCTCACAGTCATACTGCAGTCATACCAATCTTAATATTTCTGTTAAAATTCTCGACAACAGTCATCTTCAGAATTAAAAATAGCAAGTAAATCTTAGTGAATTAAAAAAAAAAGAAATAAGTGCACATTTTTGTGGCAGACTCTTCAGACTGAATGTTAACAGCTGCAGTTTAAAAGGAAGAATGTACATTTGATAGGGGGAGAAGTTGAAAACCTAACTTTCCCACGTTTCTAAGGATGGCTTGCTTAGGAGGAGTTTTGGAAGCTTTTCTGTACTTTGCATGCGGTGAGATCCTCCTCTGCCTTCTTATTCCAAACTTCCCATCTGGTACTGCAAGTACTGGATGCATTCTTGTCTCTGGAACTGTTTCTAGATGGGCAGTCTTACTGGCTTCCTAATAAAAACATTCCATTGCTCTTGAGTAACTTTCTTGCAAGCTGCAGCATTTTCAAGGCACTCCGTCTATAAATCGCACATCACGAAAAGTATTTGCTTTATATACAACCAATTTGTCATAGAGACCATTGTATGGCGTATTAATAACACAGATGACAGGCACGGGTTTGTTGGGATTTTTTTGGTAAACGATCTCCCCCCCTGCTCTTTTCAGTGGAGGGTCCTGATAGCAGAATTGGTCAAGTCAATTGAACTCACTGTTACAATAAAATTTAATTGTAAGTGCTGAAGTCAGCTGTGCAGCCTGCAAGGGGATATGATGTTTTCTCACCTTGTTTCTCTCCCTCTCCTTCTGTATTTACAGGTTATCCTAACATTTGTCTGTGTGTTGACAAAGGAATCTGTAGAAATTGCTCCAGTGCCATATACACTGCAAGTCCATCGGGTAGCTTTGGATGGAAGAGACCCCTCTAACACCTTGAGGAGAGAAAAGAGGCAGGTGCAGTGTCAACTAGGACAATACCTACATCCCAGAGAGACCCACTGCTGCATGAGGTGCCATGCAGGTATGTAAAATAACTACAGTAATAGTGACCTTCACCTTAGAGGCATTTCCCTGTCCTGCACTCTCAAACTGTCTCTGTCCTGCAGCTACATCAGTGCTCCCTTTCCTTGGTACCTATCCCTACCCAGATAAATTCTTATTCCTCGTCTCCTCTTTTGGGCTGTCAGTGTCCTTCACACTGGTGAGAGGAAGCATACTCAGCCCTTACACCATCAACTCCAGGGTTTCTCTGAGGAATTGATAACTCCCACCCTCCCTAAGACAACACATTTGCCTTCCTGTCAGATCTCTGTTAAGTGATTTTCTTGCAGGTACCTACAAGGCAAAAGACTGTGATCGGCCTGACCAGGCACCTGTCTGTCTTCCGTGTGCTAACGGCACATTCACAGCTGTTGATAACACCATGTCTAAATGCTTCCAGTGTACACATTGCCGTACAGGTGAGTTGTCTACAGGACCTGAGGAAAATGGGTGGTAGTGGCAGGTGGGGGGCTGGAGGGAATGGCAAGGTGAGTGAGGAAGCTTGGAAAAGTGAGCAATTGAATGGCATAAGGACAGTGTATGGGAAGGGATTGGGGACAGCAGGGATAAGGGTTACCAAATTACTACAGTCTGAGACACAGTTTGCAGGCCTTTTTGGCCTTTTTCTGGGGAGATTAGGGGATAACAGTACCTGTGATTATAACAGTGTTCTCAGCTGAAGGTGAAGGAAGAGGTTGGAATAATCACTTCTCACTTCTTTTCTCAGAATTCCAGCAGATAGTAGAGACCCCCTGCACCCCAAAGCAAGATACTGTATGCGGCTGTCGGAAGAATCAGTATCAGACTGGCCTGTCCGATCTCTTCCAGTGTAGGAACTGCAGCTCCTGCCCCAATGGGATTATTGCCAACTGTGAGTATGGCATGGATATGGCTCCAGTACAGACATACTGTACTAGGGTAGACATTAACAGCCCTCTGTTCAATGCTCCAGTGCCTTGCCATGAAGTGATTGTAATTTTGGAACAACGCTTGGTTTTGCCTGCCCTCTTTCCCCAGAAAGACAGCCATTTTTTGCCTGCTTTGGCATCAATCCCTGTTTTCTATCACAGTTTCTACCTGCCTTTTGTCCTTGAATATTTTCTCGGATTTGGCTGTTTTGGAGAGATATTTTCTACTTAATTTTGGTAGAATTAATTTTTCTACTTACTTCTGCCTTACATGCCTTTTTTTTTTTTTTGTCTTTGTGTGGATATTTCTCCTGATGCTCATTGCATTTTCCTCACCAACTGCTGGAAGCACTTTGAGTACAATGGCTGAAAACACTACTGGTCCCAGTGCAACCCAGTCAGTTGCTGAACCACCACAGTGTACTGTGCAGTGTTTTAAAGTAAAGAGGTGCTCAGGTAATGCTGAACTGTACCCAGTGGTGTTGGGTGTCACCTGGGTGAAGGTGTCTGGGAGAAGTACCCATGCTAGCTGTCCCACACTGCCTCATCTCCAGTCAGGAATCCGAGATCTTAACCAAATGCTGCTTGCCGTCCTCCGCTTTGTGCTGCAGTCTAATTCTGTTCATATCCCTTAAATGCTTCTTACCTTGTTTTCCTAAAGCTATCCCCTCTTCTTTGCAAATTCTGCTTCTCCTGATCCCTTTCCTATCTCTTACCCTGCCTAGCATGAGGTTTGCTGTCTCACTGGTGAATGTGTTCCCTCTGGTGCTCAGTAATCTTCCTCTGTCACAGTTTCCACGCTTACACTTATCCTCAAGGGTCATCATCTGTTGTGGTTTAACCTGAGCTGGCAACTAAGCCCCACACAGCTGCTCGCTCACTCCACCTCCCCCAGTGGGATGGAGGAGATAATTGGAAGGGTAAAAGTGGGAAAACTCATGGGTTGAGATAAGAACAGTTTAATAATTAAAATATTATTATTAACAACAACAATGCTAAAAATTGTAATGAAAAGGAAAATAATAAAAAGAGAGAGAAATAAAACCCAAGAAAAATAAATGATGTAAATGAAAGACAATTGCTCACCACCTGCTGGATGATGCCCAGCCAGTCCCTAAAGCAGCGATTGCCACCCCCTGGCCAACTCTGAGCATGACGTCATGTGGTATGGAATATCCCTTGACCCAGGCCAGTTTGGGCCAGCTGTCCTGGCTGTGTCCACTCCCAGCTTCTTGTGCATGCCCAGACTTCTTGCTGGTGGGGCATGAGAAGCTGAAAAGTCCTTGACTTGGTGTAAGTACTACTTAGCAACAACTAAAACATCAGTGTGTTATCAACATCATTCTCATCTTAAATCCAAAACACAGCACTATATGTGCTACTAGGAAGAAAATTAACTCTATCTCAGCCAAAACCAAGACAGCATTGTATGCTGCCCTTGAGCAATTTCCTTTCTTCTTGGCTGATGTAGAACTGTTTTAATCCTGTCTTTCGCTTGCCACAGAATGCATGCTGCTTGTTCTAGTACCTTTTTCCCTCTTCTCATGCAACTCTATGTCCTTCCATCCTTATTCTTGTGTGTTCCTCCCCACACCTGTTTTACTCAGTCTCCATACTGTGACTTGCTTAGAAGCAATAGCTCTTTCATTTCTTACCCCTTCCACTCACAGCATAGCAGATCACAAGAGTGGATATGCGTCCTATGGCTTGAAGTGATTTCTCCCTGCCCTGAACTGACTTCCTCACCAGTCCCAGCTGCTCAGGGACCACTTCTTCCTCATCTTTGCCTGACTAATGTGATTTCCCCTTCCTGTCACACTTGAACTTGAGTGACTTTCCCTGCTTTTGCACTGGAACTGTCATGATCCATTAAACAAATTGCAGCTGCACTATAGATTTAGTCCCTTTCCAAGCCTCTACAGAGCTCTTCGTGGTACCTTTTTTAAATTATTTTTTATTATTTTTATTCTCCTGCAACCCTATCCTCAAACATAGACTGAATCCTCTTTCTCTTCTTCAGTAGCAGTTCTCCAGGCTCAAAGAGGGATAATCTCCCACCCATCTTGGAGTGGACTTTTCTCCTTTTGTTTTCTTCTCTGTCCAGATTATGGCAACGGTTTCTTTTTTTTTCTCTACAGGTTCAAAGAACAGAGACACAATTTGCAGGTGTAAGCCTCGATTCTTCCTGACGCTTAGTAATGTTTGCAAGCCTTGCAACAGGTGAGCTGCTTTTTCTCTGTATGCCCCTCCACTGACTAGGAGAGACAGCAGACACAAGCCCCACAGGGGGAGGAATTTTTTCTCAAGGTTCTGTCCATCTTGACGTAATTTTACAACATTCTGCCTTTCTGGGGCAATTAGGTCTTCCCCTCTGCCACCCCATGTCTTCTCCATGTAGGCATCAGCCCACTAAGAACTCAAAGTCACTAGCCATGTTGCATCGCTCTGCTTTGCAGGCTCATCTTGACTTGTCCGTTACTTAGGATTGTTGCAAATGGCTAGTTTCCTTTCATGCAAGCTCACCTCTCTGATATGCTCTTTCAGCTGCATTGGAGAAGAATGCTTGCAGTGTCATAGCCCAGTGACTACCTCACCGACTTCGTCTGGGCCGAGTGAGTACTGGGGGAACTGAGGGACAGTGGAATCTTTTCAGTGTGGGATTTTGTGCTGTTTGTCAGTGCCTTTTGTAAAGTGTTATTTTCTCCACTCTCTCAAACCATTATTCTTGTTCTCACTACCATTTGCACATCTTCACTTGCTATTCTTCCTCTAGCACCTACATCTTCCTCAGTCACTCATTCATTTGCCCTCATCCTTTTGTCCAGATGGGAGTCTTGTCCTTGGCATCATTGTTGCCATATTTGGAGTTATCTTTGTCCTCTGCATTGTAAATAAAGTAGTGAAGCTGGTCCAGGAAAATGGGATAGCATCATCTTTCTACTCCTGTGGTGAGTACAGCAGCATATGCAGTGATATAAATTGGGATAGACATCATTCTCTGTGGGAAAAAGTGGGATCTCATTACTCTGCTTTGCTGCCAGGCCAGAGGAACACATGAACTTGACAGCTAAGCTTATTGGTGGAGTTCTTACACCTCTGCATCCATGCCCATAGCTGTGACTGGAAGTGTGTGTGAGCTCATTGCTGGGACATGTGCATTTTGCTGTAAAGCCTTTTTGAGGGCAGGATTGTGAATAGCTGCTTTCCTGTTTTCTCTGGGATGAGAGGAAGTGAAAATAACTTCTGCTCTCTTTTTTCTTTAAAGTTTCTTTGCCGCAGACAAACAAGGACCCTGTGTCTGAGGTGAGCAAGATGATGGGTATAAGAGCTTTCCTTCCGCTTTCAACTATGTTAGCCTGGGATCCAGAGTAGTATTTTTCCCCACGGGCTGTTTTCAGGCCTTGTATTCTCAAATGAGCTATGTAATAGGGCTGTTTAATTCAGAAGTCTTTTTCTCTAGAGGGTGGAGCCATTAACATTTCACTTCCCCTCTTCTAGAGGGCGCTTTTAAAACTCCTGTCTTTTTGCTCTTTTCTTCCTGTATGGATTTTTTTTTTCCTAGATACCTGGTCCTTAATCCCTTTTTTCTCCCTATATTCCTCAAGCTTGGAGGATTTAACTAATTTTACTTTCACTTCCAATATTGACCCCACAAGCCCCTTGGTGCTGCTTCACAGTGTTCTCTTGGGTCCAATGTTGTTGTGCAATTAAGAGGGCCCAAGCAGTAGTTGAGGTGGGGTTTCCACAGCCTTACAGAGAAGGCTGATGGGAAAGGTGGCATGTGGAGCTTCTAGAATGGTAGTGACTTCAGGTCCCAACCTTACTTGATTTTGTAAAGAAATATTTTTTCCAGACTACCTTTTTCTTGATGCCAAGAGAGAGTTAAATGCCTTGGGTTCTGCTGGAAAGAAATATTTGGTGCCTCCTGCTCAAACAAGACATATAGGAAAAATTAAAACCTAAGCACCTGCTCCCCACCCATCTTGGATAAATTTTAGTATATAAAGCTAGTAGTTCTTTGCAGGAAACAGGTGTGTTGTGCTGCTGTGGATGATTCTGGATTAAGGAAATGTCTTTCAGGTGGAGTTAAAAAGAAGAGAAACTTCCATCCTTCTTCCCGAGTCCCAGAAGGAAACAGAATTGTCAGTGAATGCAACACCACCACCTGCACCTCTGCTGCAAAGTTCACATGAGTTACCAGACTGTGTCAGACCTGCCAGGAAGACACAGCTTCCAGACAGTAAGTGAAACTCCCCCATCCTTCCCTCCTTCCCCAGGCAAACGAGAACCTGATTGTGCAGATGCGGCTAGGAGGATGTTGGACAGACCTTACCTGGTGTGCATGACCTGTGTGTATACTTCATGCATGGCACAGTACAAAGGCAGAAGCATGCCCAGAGCCTGTGTGCATCTATATACTAAATGTTTACCCACCATTGTCCCTTTTCCCTAGCAGGAAAATGGATTGTCATATGTAGTGACATGCTGTCAGTCTTAATGCCTCTGGGATGGTGACCCAGAGCATTCTTGTGGCAGGAATGTTTGGAAGCGACGCTCTAAGCGTATGTGCTCAGTTCTGCTCATGACCTTACACAAGAGCATATGTAAGCACCCCATTGCTTTTTGAGGGATGAGAGCAAGTCTGGACATCACATGAGTCTGTGTGGCTGCTCTGTACAAGAACTGAACAGGAGGGGGCAATGCATGATCCCAAGGCACCATCCAGCCCTGGATTATTCACATTCTCCTTGAGGCTGCACAATCCTGGTTCTCACACTTTATTTCTTCTCTTTTCACAGACCCTGCTATTCTCTACACTGTGGTAGATCATGTACCACCATCTCGGTGGAAAGAGTTTGTGAGGCGTCTGGGTCTAAGTGACTATGATCTAGAGCGAATTGAGATGGAGCATCGGCGTTTACGAGATGCCCAGTATGAAATGCTTAGACTGTGGAAACTGCAGATGGGCCATGCTGCAACCGTGGAGCACATCAGCTGTGTTCTCAACCAGATGGAGCTGAGTGGCTGCAGTGAAGCTATTCAAGAGGCTTTGCTAAACCAGAACTCTCCTCAATCTTGTAGCCTCCACAGCCATCTTTAATCAAGTTCTGCTTTAGTTGTTGTCACTATGGCTGTTGAGAGGATCATAACTCTCTTCCTTTCCTGTTTTCATTTTTCCATACCTCCCTATCTTTCTAACCCTCCTCAACTGGGTTTGTTGGAGACAGCAGCAGATGATGCTGGAAGAAGGCTGGGGTTTGTTTCTCAGCCACCATGTAGTTCAACACCTTTAAGCTAAGACAGACCTCTGCAACAACTCCTTTCCCAAGGAGGGAAAGCACCTCGTATAGGAAGTGGTGTGTGGACTCTGACCAAGATAAAAACAGGAGCTCAGACTGACTTGATTGCTCAGCTGCTCTACAGACAAGTTGTTGCTGAAGCAACAACCATCTCCCACGTGATGGGTAAACGTGTAGGGTGACTTGGTTAAGCTGGCTGTTCAGATGGTAAAGTCCGCTCACTTTTTGCAGATCTATTTTTCTGCAAGATCAGACAGTTGAACTGGCTCACATTGCAGCCCTTTGATTGCTAAATCTGACTCAAGGGAAGTGGTGGGAAGCTGTGCCTGTTTCTGGGAGCAGGAGAGAGGGTTACCCCTTTCAATATCAGAGTGGCAAAAGAGTCACGGAGATTCAGAAGTGGTGGCTCTGTGAGAAACGGGGGACGTTATCCTTTCCATACCCCCCATTTCTCTCAGATTCAAGAGGAATAAGGATTCCAAGCCAGTGAGTCAGATGAAAGGGTTGGTGCTTTTTTCTCAACGTTTTTTTCTTTTTTTTTTTCCCTCTACCTAGAAATCGTGTAACATAGCATTAACAAAACACCTGCCTGTGTGTTTGTCGAAGTGCAGAGTGGGAAGGAATGCATGCGTCTGGGTGAGAAGGTACCTGTGTACCTGGTAGCGTGAGCATGTCTGCAAATCTGTGCTTGCATGCAGGTTGGTAGGGCTTGTGTCTGCCTGCTTGTCTCTGAACGATTCGATGAATCTGATCTAACTGCAAATGGGACTGTGTATGTGTACATATATATATATATACACACACTTTTTGTTTTGTTTTGTTTAGCAACTGTTGAATAACTTCACACTACTTCCTGGACAGCATTCTGTGATTGCTACTTGGGTGTGAGAGATGTTTGGTACCATCTCCAGGCTCTCACCGTCGCTTTCTCATGGGTATTACCCTGGGTGAAGCACAAGTAGCAAAAATCAATTAGCCTGCCTCAGGTGCATGTAGTCCATATATTTGTGAATGTGGATTTTTTTTTAAATCTCTTATCCCTTAAACAGAGAGAAACTTTCTATTGTAAATACACTAAATGCTCTGAATTAAAATTCATATTTTTACCCTGTGTTCTGGTTTTGTCCATATCAACTTCTCTTCTGTGAGTGAGGGTGGGGGCAGAGAAAGGGGAATAACTTCCAGAGTGGCAAGAGTGGGTGGGTTGATGGTCTGATGAATTTTTTTTTTTAAAAAACAAGTTGTATGAACTTTTGTATGTAAAGCTTAGCTGCCCTCAAGTGACAGGAAGCTGGCTGAAGGCAGGAAGGAGGATTGAAATTAGATTCAGTTGCAGGTTGTCTCATATTCAAGAGTCAGAGGGGGCGCTAGCAGATTTAAAGTGAATTTCTAAACAACATACAATGTCATTTTGATTTGCATTTGGCTTTTTAAAAAGGAAAATATCTTTAAATAAAATAATAATAATAA